TTTTTTTATTGTACATTCAATTCACGCATTCTTTTTCATCTGGTATTTGTTTGGTTGATATATATGTGTATTTAAGATAAGTTCTTACTCTTAATTCCAGCCTGTTCAGTCTATTTGTAGATTACTTGAGCTGTTTTAATATGGATGTTCAAGGTTTCAGTTATAGGGCACAAATTCTTGTGAAGCGTTTACACTGTTTATGTTAATAGACCGGTCCAAGTTTCATATTGGGTCATCGTTTTTTGTATCTATTACGTGTCACACGTAGTGAAGTATTTATATGATATATGTTTTAGATGCATAAAAATACATTCTTTGCATTTCTGTAAGTATAATTGTAATGTATGAATTGTAGTATGGGGTTTAAGAGTTGCTCAAGTTTATAACGAAAATATTGGACGAAGTATTGTGGATAGTGCGTTCTCAGAGTTTCATATTTAAGTAATCGGTATAGCGTGTTACAGAGATTTTATATTATTTTAATGATGAATATGTTTTTTGTGGTTTTTACTGCTTCATGCAAAATTGATTTCATAGGGTGTTTGTTTTCTTTAAATGGTAATGAAGTTATCATTTCAGTTTAGTCAAGTTGGTAGTAGTCTAATCTCAATTTTAATCATCAGAATATGAGGTAATCATAGCGAAAAAAATCACGTAAAACATAAGTATGAAGAAAGTACCGAAGTTGAGGTAGAATTGAAAGAAACAAGCAAAGTCGAGTCATGCACCTCGAAGGCGCGTGTAATTTTAGAGAGATCTGGACACATCATTGGAAGTAAATATTCAGAAAGGACGCTTGTATGTATCTTATTAACTAATCATATTCTTCTCGAAGGAGGAAAATGAATGTCTAGAAATCTGGGAGTGTTAAACGATTTGAATAGTCAGTAATTATCAATTTTTAAAAATTTTCGACCAATGGACTTGCTAAATTTTTTTTGAATTTTGATTGGAAATTCAATCAGAAGATTTGTCTGAAATGCGTCTCTTGAGAAACATTTGTATAGTAGAGCTTATCAACATATTATTTGTTTGTGTTTATTATGTGGTAGTACTTGATTGAATTATTGATTCAGTCAGCGAATACAACTTTTACTACATTAATAGACTGATACTCACAGAATGCAAAGCAACTTTGAGTTGAAGTATGAAGATGAAGTTGGCCATAAATATTTTTAGGTATATGCGTTAGATGCATGCATATTTATTTCTGCCTCAGTCTGCACAAAAAATTGAAATCAGTTCAATGGCACAGAGAATTCTTGATGTTCTATCATTTATAAATGAATGCTGGGGAAGAAATGGATTCAAAATAAAGGAATGAAGTTGTGATTTCTGAAATTCTGCTTGTTATTGATTAAAAGTTTTAATAAATTATAAAAATATTTGCTAAATTTCAACAAAATCATACGACGTACGGAATAATTAGCGTCACTTTCATAGTGTCATACAAAGTTAAAAAGCAAAATCCTTATGAGTCTGATTATTGGCACCAAGTATGTGTAATTAAAAGTAGCCAGATTAAATGAATTTGAAAAATAGGTTGCTGAGTGCAATGACTTTTTCAACTTGACTGTTGTTTTGAAATATTCAAAAATATCTTTAATGAGAAATATAATTGCCTATCGGAACTAACTATACATCACTTTGAATTATGCAGAAGTTAATCAAAGTAAGTTTTGATTCAGCAAACTTAGTGCTAGAGGACTAATTAAAAGCATATATATGCACTAGAGTGAAGAATTAAGCATTCGATTTAATTAATTTTGTCTGCTCAATTTGGTTTGTTTCAAAAAACAGTCTGCTTAAAACGTCACGTGAATACATGTGTACGTTAAACATTATTTCATTCTAATCAAACAAATTTATTTTGTATTTTTAAGCAAGAATCTGTTGTATATAAAACATAACAAAACTTGACTAAACGTGTTTAAAAGTTATAATCAAATTTCAACTTTGCTACTGAAAATTTTCGCAAGAAATATAAATAAGCTATGAGAGCTAGCTAGAAGCTAATCGTGGAGAAAGTTTCGCTTTAACCCCGCGGGCTCGTGCGTATTCATAGAAGCGCCTTCTTCCTCCATTAATATATTTCTCAATGCTTTCTACCGCTTTTCCCCAGTGCAATCAAATTATACACATGCATTAATTTCTATTCAGTAATTGTTTTTTTTAAATTTCTTTACTTAAATCAATATTGCATTTTTAACTCAGTATATCAAAATATTTCAAACAATCTACTCCACTTAATCTGATGTATGCAATAATTTTGAATTATCCATTTTTAATCATAAGTAAATTTCTGCTCTACTCACTTTCCAATTTTGTTTCTTCACTCAAAAATCTTACCAAAATCAATCAAGCAACCAACCAACCAATTTTTGCATATTATACCAATTTTCAGCACTTTAATTAAAAAAATAGCTCCTCATGTGTTATAATTTTTAAAATTTATTGCAAAAAGAAAAGAAATAAAACTGATGAATAATTTCACTGATTAAACTGAATGTTTTTTGCTATCAATCACTTCTTGCGCTACTGAATTACCTTATTGTTGCTTCAGCTAAGCATTACGTATCTATCTCATTCCTTTTCACTGCGTCGACAAATATATTTTTTTGACTCTATTTTACAATAATTTCAAGTATTTATTTCTTGTTTGAACATGATAATCAGTAATTCGCCGAAACCTATGATGGAAGCATTTGCTTAAAAGTAATGCTGTCGTCTTTCTATCCAACACTGCTCACTCATTGCTGATCAGCTAGCTCTAAATTCAATTCATGCTCTAAATTATTATTATTGATACGGAATAATTTTAAGTTTATCATGAATTTGAACAGCAGTGGAACAAGTCCCTTTATATTATGGCTAATTTTATGAATATTTTTTAATAAGCTTCTCATATGATCGCATCATTTTGAGAATTAGCAAAACTTGTAGTCAATCTCATACATTTAAAAGTTAACATTTAAGAGGTAACAGTGTTCGTCTTACGTCCAACCTTCATCTATTTGAGAGATGCATTACTACTTATCAGTTATCACAGCAATGTTGCAACAAGCACTCATCATCATAATTATCACTCGTTTTTATCAGTGGAGGGTTGAAGCTAGTCAGCGTCTTTTAAACGATAAAGATAAGACAGCGTTAACTTCTCTTAGCTTCAACAAATTGTCAATTTTCAAAACATCAGGAGATGCCAAATTCAGGCCCTCACCTCCTGAAATTGGTCGTAGTTCATTTAAACAAAAACTAGACCATTTTAATACTAAGAATGGACAAACATGGAGGCAGGTAACTTATATTCATCTTATCTCTTGACTTTTATACAGTAATATAATTACTTAAATTATAACTCCATACTGTTTATATCAATCAGCTTAAGACTAGTTATTATTACAGTATTACATGCACAGAAAATCACCTTATCAAAATCCTGATGGTCCTGTGTTTTTGATGATTGGCGGTGAAGATCAAGCTGATCGAGCCTGGTTAACCAACTACAATTTACCATATTTGCAACTTGCAGATCAAATAAATGCTAGCACGTATATGCTTGAGCATAGATTCTATGGTGCTAGTCGTCCTACCAAGTAATTAATTAATTTTTTAAAAGTTATAAAATGCAATTGCTATGCTTGTTTTTAGTTATTCTTTTGTCACTAGCAAATTCTTATAAGTTTTGATGTTTTATTGTGTTATATTGCATATAAGAAAAGCTATCTTTAGAAATACTTCTCTGCAAAACTTGAAATATTTAAATGCGAAGCAAGCTATTGAAGATATACATCATTTTGTCCAGGAGATTAACCAACGTGAAGGACTGTCAAATCCAAAATGGATTGCTTTCGGTGGCAGTTACTCAGGTAGATATAACCTTCATTTTTGAAGTGGTAACTTGATAAAAAACTGTGCAAAAGCCTGTGATCTAACGCATTTTAATGATTGCACTCATCCAATTTCAATTAAAAATACCACGTATGAGTTAATCAACAATAGAGCTGTTTGACCTTACGTAAAAAAAGGTTAATACTTATACTCACTTCTACTACTTTAACTAAAATGATTTCCAAGAATTCGCTTCAGTTTGTTCTATTCCTTCTTCAAATATAATATCTATTCCGAAGACAAGCATTTATTCATTGCACTGCGCTTACTTGTAATTTTTTATCCCAAACATTCAAATAAGAACAAGAAATGTAAATTGGTTGCTTTCCTCATTTCAGTTTTAGATTTTCTAGATTCGTTGCTCAGTTAGTTTTGTGATTAAACAAAGAAGGCTGACTGATTTATTCTAACTTTACATCGTTTTTTTTTTCTTTATGCTCGTTTACATTTAAAAATTAGCAAATTAACAAAATAGAATAGAAATAGAATAGAAAAATGTATAGATTTTGCCTGTGGCACAATTCAAATTAGTAGAAACCAACATTTAAGTAATTAAAAATGACAGTCAGCGAAGTTCATTATTGTTTTCATTATTACTTCTCTTCTTGTTCTTTTTCGAACATTCTCCTCAAACGCACTCTCAGTAATTACTTACTTACATCTACAAGAAATCGCAATGTACATTTTAAAATACATAAAAGTTAATGGCTATTACCTAAAAGCTTCTAATAAAGCTTGCACTCACAAATAAGCATTATGCGAACAACACTGTTATTTTGCTCTGATAACAGCGCAACAGAAATTTACATATGTTCATTTTTAGGCAGTCTAGCAGCTTGGATACGTCAAAAATATCCTCAAGATATTCGAGCATCAGTAGCTAGTTCAGCTCCATTACAAGCTAAACTTAATTTTCAAGGTAATACTTACCTTTTTTGCAAGTCTAAAATCATGAATCAATAAGTTAAAATAAATAACAAAATAATAGCAACACTAATAACAATAATAAATAATAATAAAAATAAATAGCAACAAGAAAAAATGATGCGATTAGTTTCAAATTTTGTAGCAACGTTTTATGAATTTGTTATCGCTACTAAAACATGTAATAGCAAAAAAAAATTATAGAATTTGAAGAACAAATCAAAAAAATAATAGAAAAAAAAGACGAGAAATGTGTAGCAGTAATTCAAAAATTATTCCAAAAAATGCGCGAAATGTCTGAGACAAATGAGGGAAGAAAAGATTTGGTGCGCATATTCCGGTACTTTTAATCTTTCTTATTAAAACTTTAATTGAATTAAAACAAAAATACATCAAAGAAGTAATTTATTCAAGCTTAAACATACTTTCAGACTAGACAAATCATTGAATCAACCATCGGTTTCGCAAAAAGATATCGCAAATTTCTTTCTCGTTATCACTAATTATATCAGTTTCATAATAATGCACAGTGGCATTAATGTGGTTTGTTTAAGTCTCATCACGGATTAAGCGACGTTCATTTTAGCATCTCATACAATTTGACGCAATAAATTTGAATAAAATCTTTGTTACGCGATAGATGATAAATTATTCTTTGCGTTTTTTAATTGAAACTAATTAGGATTTTTTATATGGGTTTGTAGAAAGGTCATCGAGATTTGCTAACCCTTGACACAATGTGCAAGAAATTAACCAATTCACCTCTATTGGAATCGATACGAGGATTAATCAGTATGGTAATGATTTCACAGGGCAAACTTCCGCAGTCTGCTCTCGATATTGGTTATAAAAGTTTTGTAGATTTCATGCGAGATGAACGATGGAACACAGCTAGCTCTCAACGTTATTATTTGACTACTTATTATGTGCTAGTAATCATTGCAATACAGTAAAAGAAAGCAATGTATCAGCACCAATTAAAATAAACTATCATTGAGAATTTACAATTTATTCAAATTACAAAGTTGCATTTCGACTTTTATTCTCTTCTCTTTTCTTTACTACTCTTTTTTCATTACTTATTTACTCTTCCAAATACAAAAAAAATTCACTTTACATTTTTTAAATTAATTTGACTTCAGATGAATTGTAAGAATTCTGATTTAATAAAATTTGTGAATTTTTTCAAAATTTTTTTTTTATGAATTTTTTCTAAAATTTCGAGTTTCTCCCCTTACTTTACTGGAGAAACCAAATGACTGTGGTACACGGAGGAATATTTAGAAGGGGAAAAACTAAAATGTTTGAACTCAGAAATACTCAAAAGATGTGGTATGGTCAGTTTTAGCTCGAGCATGGCTTTATCAGAACTGTAATGAATTTGGGCATTTTCGAACAAGTGAAAAGCCTGATGGCCTTTTTGGTGGTACACTACCTCTCAAGTACGATTTACAGACTTTTTGTATATATAAGTATATATATATATTGATCATTTTAAAATTTTCTTTGATATATATATATGAATAATCATTATTACTGGCTAAAAAT